TACAAGATATCAAGAAATTCAAGAAATGTATCTAAAGTGATTTGGCACAGTGTCTGAGATTCAGAAGATACACTGGACTTAAGTGAAGCAATATCAAAAAATGAAACAACCATGATCTTCAATACATCAGCCATCATGCTGTAAAAGCTGGTATGATCTGGCCTGCTCAAGTTATCACTTAGAAAGATGTCACCTCAAGGGGCTCCACTTGAGAATCATCTTGCCTGATTTCCTTTTTTGGATCATAATACTGCTAAATGTATATGATACATGTGAGAGTGAGATTGAGGAGGCACTCAAACCAACATCAACATTATCATCATCTTCTTCATCATTTTAAACATTATAGGTTTTAATTACTGTTGCTGTTATGATGTGCCATTGAGTCGGCCCTGCCTCATAGCAACCCTCCTTGGGTTTCTGAGGCAATATCACTACGGAAGTAGATTGCTCAACCAAGAGAGCAATGTTTTGGGAGACCAGATATTTTTGTACACGTATTCTCATCATCGTAGGTACTATCTGTACCTGGAGGTGAGTTAACAATGGCATCCCACAGATATTCTGAGCAGCCTTTTTGGATATAACTGTCCTTCATTTGGAGGAATAGCATTCTGTACCTCTAACCTGTCCCAGAGCAGTAATTTCACAGGAACTGCTGTCAGTTCTCCCTCTTGATTTTCATTCTCTCTCCCTGAAATCTTCAGAAATGTCCAACTCAAATATATTTCCTTACCCATCCTTTCTCACCTCAAAGCCTTTCTTCAGATACACCTGAGTCCTCAAGTACAGATAGTCATTGCTCCTGCTGAAGGTTGCCTGGGTCCATCAGGCCTGGGGATTTCTTATAAAAAGAAGGAGACACTAAAGATGAGCCTAAGAAGAGATGAAAATAAAACACACAGTAGTTCCTAAGGCAGCTAGTTCTTCAAAGATGCACAAATGTCTTGAGTGAGCCATCAGTCTCTTTTTCAGTGTCTCCAGAGCCAAGATAGAGCTTTGTTTCCTTCGGCATCCTTGATTCTGTCCAGTCAGTTGCTTTATTTGCATTGCAGTTCTGTGCTTTAACTGCTCTAACCCTGTCTGCTCCCTCTTGACTAACTTGTGGTCTCAGGACCAGGTTTTGTCTCAACACAGCCTCCTGTGAGGATAAATTATGCCACTGCCATCGAAGTGATCTCTCTTGACCAGGGATAGAAGATGGTCATCAGCTCCAAAATCTGAGAGTGCAGATTATGCAGCAACTGGGAAGTGTTCCTTGGATCATCTGATGGAGAAAATAACAGGCTTAATCTGCCAGAATACTGCAGAAGAAAAAGTCTATGCTCTCAATAAACAGATAAATGCATCAGTTATTGACTATGGAAGGATGGAAAATTTAATCAGAGCTTTCAGACCATATTTTTGCAATTGTACAACAGCAATAATTAAATTTAACTTGCAGAGGTATTGTGAGAAATGCAAAAATATGGATGTAAAATATATATTCATTATTTAAAAGTAGTGCTTATGATAAAAATCATATTTAACAAAGAGATATGGGATGTATTTATTTATTATATAGTTAGACCATTATGCTTAATACTATCACCAGTCCCTCAACAGAAATGTGGAAATTCCACTATCTTCACAACAAAAAATCCCATTCAAACTGGTTCAAAAAGACTCTTTGGGACATCATTTCTACCTTAAAATTGACCCCTTTGCGATTCTAAGGTAGTATTTTAAAAGGAAGGGATCCTTGGTAATGCAATGGTTAAGCTCTTGGCTGCTAACTGCAAGATTGGCAGGTCAAATCCACCACCCACTTGGTAGGAAAAAGATGTGGTGTCTGTCTGTGTCCATAATGCTTGTACCCGTGCAAACCCTATGGAGCAGTTCTACTCTGTCCTATAGCATAGTTATGAATCAGAATAAACTCAAGGGAGATGTGCTTTGGGTTTGGTTTTCTTGTTGTTATTGTCAGTGTTATGTTAAATGAAAGACAAAAGTGTAATAGAATACAAAGAGTTACACCTCCATAGTCTCACTATCTAGAAAAGAGAGAAATTTCCTAAAGATTGCAATTGTAAGGACATCTTATCTATCCACTCCCAAATTTCACAGGCAGTAGATATGAGAGTTGGGATGGGGATTGGCAGATCTCCTTTGCTACAGATAAAATCCACCACTCTGCTTGTGCTCTTTCTCCACTGCTCTTCACCTTTCACCCCTATGAACTACATCTCCTTTAGGTTATTGGTGTTATTTTTCAAGATCAATTCTTTTTTTTTATCTTTCCATAACTCATAAGGGAGCTCTGGTGGCATAGTGCCTAAGGCATTTGACTGCTAACCAGAAGGCTGGCAATTCAAACCACCAGCTACTCCTCAGAAGGAAGATTGGGCAATCTCCTTCCATAGAGATATAGAGATACCACCTTGGAAACCAAAGGATGTGCTGATATGAGTCAAATCAACTCAATTTCATTTATGTTTTTTTTTTTTTTTTTTTTAATAAACCATAATGTAATTTATCAATATCTCTATAGCTACAATGTAAAGCACCTCTCAGATCCATCATTTGGTATCAACTCTTCAGTGCCAGATTAAATCATCATTTCCATCAATTCAGGGCATTCTTAAACGCAAATAATACAGAATAACCAGAAATTTTGGTTCTGGTTATTTATAATATTAGAATTTGACTTAGATAACTGACTTAATGCATTTTAAAATTTAACACAAGTGGCATAAATAGCATGAATTTGGTCCCAGATGAGCATGAAATGGGCTATTCTCAGCTGAGTCAGGTGAGAGCATCCAAGATCCCTTCTGTCTCTTCTTATGCTCAAAGCCTATAGCAGAGGAGCCAGAGTAACTAAGTCATTTCCATTCTGGTGCAAACAATTAAGTACTGACTACTAAAGGCATTTGTCTGCTAACCAGAGGGTAGTGATCCATAACCCACTGCTGCTCTGTGGGAGGAAGATGAGGTAATCTACTGGTGCAAAGATTTACAGGCTTGGAAAAAGAATAGGGGTCGCTATGAGTCATATCTGACTTGACAACAGCAAGGTTTTTTATTTATATTGAGGTGTAATCTTTAGTGCAGACTGTAGTCCTTAATCTTCATCAGTCAGTGCTTCAAGTCATCCTCACTTTCAGCAAGCAAAGTTGTGTCATCTGCATATCACAGGTTATTAATAACTCTTCCTCCAATCCTGATGTCATGTTATCTTTCATATAATCCACCTGCTCGGATTATTTGCTCAGCATACAAATTGAATAAGTATAGTGAAAGGATACAACCCTGATGCACTCCTTTCCTGATTTTAAACCATGCAGTATCCCCTTGTTCTGCTCATATCCTGATCTATGTACAGGGTTCCTCCTGAGTACAATCAAGTGTTCTGAATTCCCATTCTTCTCAATGTTATCCATAATTTGTTATGATCCACACAATCAAATGTTTTTGCATAGTCAATAAAACATAAATAAACATCTCTCTGGTATTCTTTTCCTTCAGCTAAGATCCATCTGACATCAGCAATGATATTTCTCATTCCACATGCTCTTCTGAATTCAGCTTGCATTTCTGGAACCATTTTTGAATTATATTCAGTAAGATTTTACTTGCATGTGATATTAATGATATTGTTCAATAATTTCCACAAGCTGTGGGATCACCTTTCTTTGGAATGGGTACAGATATAGATCTTTTTCCAGTCACTTGGCCAGGTAGCTGTCTCCCAAATCTCTCAGCATAGCTGAGTGAGTGCCTCCAAAGAGGCATCTGTTTGCTGAAATATCTCAATGGGTGCTCCATCAATTCCTGGAGTGTTGTTCTTCACCAATTCCTTCAGTGCAGCTTCGATTTCTTCATTCAGTACCATTGGTTCTTGATCCTATGCCACCACCTGAAATGGATGAACATTGACCTTTTTTTTTTTTTTTTGGTACAGTGAGTCTGTGTATTCCTTTTGTCTTCTTTTGATGCTTCCTGCATCATTCAATATTATGCCCATAGAATCTTTCAATATTGCCACTTGAGCCTTAAATATTTTCCTCAGTTCTCTCAGCTTCAGAAATGCAGAGTACCTTCTTCCCTTTTGGTTTTCTAACTCCAGGTCTTGCACATTTCATTATAGTTTTTGACTTTGTCTTCTCAAACTGCTCTTTCAAATCTTCTCCTCAGCTCTTTTATCTTGTCATTCTTCCATTTGCTTTAGCTACACTCCTATCAAGGACAACTTTCAAGTTCATTTCTGACATCCATTTTGGTCTTTTCATCCTTTCTAATGACCTCTTGCTTTCTTCATGGATGATGTTCTTGATGTCATCCCACAATTCCTCTGGTTTTCAGTCACTGGTGTTCACTGTATCAAATCTATTCTTTAAATGATCTCTATATTCAGGAGGGATATCATCAAGATCATATTTTGGCTCTCATGGACTTGTTTTGTCTTCAATTTCAACTTGAAACTGCATATAAGCAGTTGATGGTGTGTTCCACAATCAGCTCCTGGCCTTGTTTTGGCCAAAGATATTGAACTTTTTCATCATCTCATGCCACAGATGTAGTCAATCTGATTCCTGTGTATTCCATCTGGTGAAGTCTACATGTATAGATAGCCTTTGCTTATGTTGGTGAAAAAAGGTATTTGCATTGAATAAGTCATTGGTCTTGCAAAATTCTGTCATGTGATCTCCAGCTTTATTTCTATCACCAAGGCCATATTTTCCAACCATTGGTAACTTGTCTTTGTTTCTAACTTTCACATTCCACTCACCAGTGATAATCAACTCATCCTGATTGCATGTTTAGTCAATTTCAGACTGCAGAAGTTGGTAGAAATCTTCAATTTCCTCAGCATTGGTTTTGGGGGTTGGTGCATAGATTTGAATAATAGTAGCATTAACTTTTCTTCCTTGGAGGCATATAGATAATATCCTATCACTGACAACATTGTACCTCAGGACAGATCTTGAAACAGTCTTTGTGACAATGAATGCCACATCATTCCTCTTCAATTTGTCTTTCCCAGCATAGTAGATCATATGGTTGTCTGATTCAAAATGGCCAAACCCAGTCCATTTCAGCTCACTAATATCTAGGATATTGTCCTTTATGTGTTCCATTTCATTTTTGACAACTTTCAGCTTTCCTAGATTCATACTTCATACGTTCCATGTTCTAATTATTAATGGATATTTGTCTCTGTTTCTATTCATTTTGAGTTGTGCCACATCAGATAATGGAGGTCCCAAAAGCTTTACTCTATCCATATCGTTTAGGTTCTCTCTACTCTGAGGAGTCAGCTCTTCCTCAGTCAAATTTTGAGTGCCTTCCAACCTGATGGGCTCATCTTCTGGCACTATATCAGACAATGTTTCAGGGCTATTCATAAATTTTCCAATAATATATCAGACAGTGATTCCCTGTTATTTGTAAGGTTTTCACTGGCTGATTATTTGAGAAGTGGATGGCCTCTTTCTTTTCTGAGTCTGTCTTAGTCTGGAAGCTCCATGAAACCTGTCAACCATGGGTAACACTGCTGGCATTTTACAATATCACTGGTGTAACCTCCAGCCTCACAGTAACATGTAAGCCACCACCGGACAACACACTGACAGACAAGTTCATCTCCCTTAGTTGTTCCTAACCCCTTTGCACCCACCTATCTCAGGCCCTGGCCTTAATGCCCCCTAGTCCCACCTACCTCAGGATCCAGCCTTAACAAGCCCTAGTCCCACCTACCTTGGCCCTGGCCTTAGAGTAGAGCACTCCCCAAGCAAAAAGCAGCCCCTGAGCAACACGCCCGTAAACCTCAGTCCAGCCTTTCTATGTAAGACCCATATATCTGCACTCTACCCTATAATTGGGAGTATAGAGACTAGTAAGTCCCAAGTCAGTGGGTCAGACACCAGGCTAGAGTCTTCTCCTGACTCATATGTGCCCTACTCTGCCTAAAATACCTTTTCCCAGTATTATTCTAGCAATTGTTTGGCAACCAGGTCTCTAGGAAAATTTAAAAACCGAAGTTTGTAGTGTGCTGATTTATGTGGTGTCGATACTTCCATCATATCCATTTTCAAAGCACCAATGTGAACTCAGAATTGTAACAAAATATGCCCACTTGGCTTTCATGATTCAGTAAAAACCGGTTTCAACACACTACTTTCTTTCCCACTCTGACCAGCTGATAAGAATGAATTTGACCAATAAGGAACCACTAAAGGGTCAATTACTTTAATAATTGACTACTAAATCCTCTAGTAAAATTGACCAACCCTAATAGATGTGTATAGGAGCTCTGCTGGTGCAATGGCTAAGGTATTTGGCTGCTTACCAAAGTTGTTGGTTCAAACTCACCATCTGCTTTGTAGATGAGGCAATCTATTTCCATAAAGATTTACAGCCTTGGAAACCCTATGGGGCAGTTCTACTCTGTCCTATAGGGTCACTATGAGTGAGAATCAACAGTTGGTTGAGTTTACTTTTTGGAATATAAATATTGTACCATGTACCTCTCTATAAATTATAACATCTTTTTACACTTAATTACACTAATCTTTTTGGCATATGTATCTCCACTTCGAAACATTCATTCTTTAACAGGAAGACTGCATTTTATTTTTTATATATCCACAGTATCTAAAGTAATAACTGTCACAATAGATGTTTCATGTTTCTCAATATATAATTTTGATGAAACAATAGGCAATAACATTTCCACTTACAGCTATTTTCTGAGTACTCGTAATTGTTAAGGGAGAGGAGTCATAGATGTCATGGCCCCTGCTTAAGAACTTCACGATTCAGCTAAGAGGAAAGTACATATACATGAAATAATAAAACATCAACAATGAAAGCATGTGTATACATCATCCTAGTGAAGAACAAAACGACAGGTTAACAACAAAAAAGAAATTGAGACAGACATAATGGCGTGTGAGATGTGCACAGTCATACAGAGTAGGAGGAGAGGATATTATCAAAAGATGAATGTGGAGATTGTGCACAACTCCCAACCTACTCACAGAATATGAGATGAAATATTCTCCTTTAACTTATACATTTGCCCATATATTTAAAGATACACTACTAGCCTTATTTGAGGAACTGCCATGTGTCCATAAACTGTGGAGCTTATAGGTCTGCAGTAGCAATAGGATAAAAGACACATCTCTGCCCATTAATGAGGTGAGACTTAGTCCATAACAGACAGCCACAGTAATAGTTCAAAGTCCTGCCAAAAATTCAAATTCCAAACTTGTCCAAAGAAGTCAGAAATCTGGGCAGAAAAATGTTATGATAATGTGGTATGGAAAGTCAAACATGAAGAAATTTATTCAAGAGAGAGAAAAAGAGATTGAGATTAAAACAGAATATTAAAAACAGAAGCTATGTAAATGTGGTTACATTTCACAACTAAGGTTATTATTAGCTTTAATAATAATTTAATAATGTTAACAAATGTATGCAATTTTTTACTTACTCTCTTTTACATGCATTGCCTCATGGAAGTCTGACAATGCTCTTGGGGACATATAATAGGCTTAAAATTATTATCACAATTTGACCAAGAATAACCTGAATCTCAAAAAGGTTAAGAAATTAACTAAAATTGCATATTTAGGAAGTAGATGAATTAAGGATTATAACTAGATAAACTAACTTCAGATATTTTAGTTCTTACAATACTAAAATAACAGCCCTAAGTTTTTCAGTGGGAAAATCAGATGATCAAGGTTATCTAAAGCCTCCTCCTCTCTATCCCAAACTTACGGAGAATGCCTAGACGAATCTGCTTTGTTCTGACACTGTAGACAACAGGGTTAAGCACTGGGGGAAGAAGCAGGTATACGTCAGCCATGAGGACATGAACTATGGGAGACAGATGCTTCCCAAAGCGATGTACCATTGATACTCCAATAACCGGCACAAAGAAGATAAGCACCACACAGATATGAGATACACATGTGTTGAGGGCCTTTAACCGCTCTTCACGAGATGCAATTCCCAGAACAGCATTCAGAATCAGGACATAAGAAAGAAGTATGAAGACTGAATCCACACCCAGTGTGACGATTACTACACACAGTCCATAAATGCTATTGATCCTGGCATCTGAACAAGATAATTTCAAAACATCCTGGTGCAAGCAGAAGGCATGAGAGAGGGCATTGATATGGCAGTAGTGATAGTGTCTCAGTAGCAAAGGTGTGGGCAGTACAACGCCCATGCTTCGCAGCAAGCAGACCAAACCGATCTTGCCAATTATACTGTTGGTAAGGATGACAGAATAGTGCAGCGGACAACAGATGGCAACAAAGCGGTCAAAGGCCATGGCTAGCAGCACGGAGGACTCCAGGAATGTGAACATATGAATGAAGAAGAGCTGAGTATAACAAGCATTTGCCTGGATCTTCTGAATATCCAACCACAGCACAGCAAGCATAGTGGGAAGTGTGGATAGAGACATACCCAGGTCAGTCAATGCCAGGATGCAAAGGAAGTAATACATGGGCTGGTGGAGTGAAGACTCTACCCAGATGACAGAGAGGATGGTGACATTACCAATAAATGCTACAAAGTATGCAAGAAAGAATGGGATTGAGAGCCAAGAATGAATGTGTTCCAGTCCAGGAAAACCCCTCAGGATAAATATGGGCTCCATAGCATCACTACTATTCCAGACCACCATGGTGACCCTTGAGATACCTTGCAAGTAGCAGCCTTGTGCAAAATGAGAAGAATGATCTCTGCTATCTGTTCTTACACCAAAAAGCTATCCTTTGTGAATGGAGGCAGTCCAATCAGGGTTAGATTCATCTTTCCTCATTCTCATAGTGGGAGGCAAGTAGAAGCTCCTTCCTATAAATCTAAAATAAAACAAATGATTCCCAATCACAGAGCCACCAAATTCTGGAAAAACACGTGGACTGCACAAATCTGATCATCTCTGACAAGACATTATTGGGCCTGCATCAAGGACACTGGAAATATTAAACAAGAAAAGAGTAGAGTAAGAAAATTCTTACTGTATATGGTAAAGTTAAAACAGAGAAAAGTCATAATAAATATCCAATGTTTTACACAACCTTCCTGTAAATAATGTTCTTGAGTTAATCATTTATTACCCCCAAGCTGCCTTCTCATGCACGTCAATTGGATTGATCCCAAGGACTGAACATAACTTCCTTTTGTATTTAGTTTTTTCAATTTTAAACTTAATAATTTATAACATTTGACAATTGTAAATTTTGATATTAAATTATAACAGGTAAATATCCTTTTATATGCAAAGAGGAAATAGAAAAGAGATAAATAAAGTCCATAAAATCCCAGCTCACTTGCACAATTTTCAGTTGTTTAGTAAAATAATTCAGCAACTCTGCCTTAACCTAAAATCCTCATTTTTTTTTTTTATGTTAAGGAAGAGCTAAAGATATATGGTCTTCACATATAAAGAGAGAGAACCCTGGTTGTGCAGTGGTTAAGCACTCACCTGCTACTGTGTGTGTGTGTGTGTGTGTGTACATATGCATGTATATATGTATATATGGTTTAAGCACTTTTAAAATAAATCTTTGGAGCATAAGGTCACAAAGTAACTATAAAATCTCTACTGAGGATGGTTTGTTTTCTGTACTCTCACAACAAAAAATGCAAACAATGTGTTTCACGCAGATATCTATTATATATTATGTGTCTTCAAATAAGTAATAACTCTTGATTTCTATTTGTCATTTTTTGGTTGTTTCTTTTTTCTTTCAAAATAATGTTTATAATCAAGTTTTTAAAAGAACATGAAATTGAAATGTTGAATGCTTTCCCAATTTCATGATTCAGTTTTACCTACTTCTGTGAACCCATAGTGTAGTGGTTAAAGTATTTGATTGCTAACCAAAAGGTTGGTGGTTCAAACCCATTAGTGGCTCTGCAGAAGAAAGGTGAGGCAATCTGCTTCCATAAAAATTTACAGCCTTGGAAACCCAATGGGGGTCGCTATAAGTTGAAATTGACTCGATGGCAGTGAGCTCTGCAAACCCATAGCAATCCCAGGAATGCAGTCTCAAGTACTCACCATCAATATGTTCTGGACACAATTAAGTTCTTCCTTTTTCTAAATAATTCTCATGTCTGGTTTTGCCTCTGGAATCTCTATTGTTTTTCCCTCTCCTCTGGTGCTGGGTATGAATATTGCCCTTATTTTATGCTAAGCTGATGGCATTCAGTACAGAAGCTAGGCTGTCTGGAATTCTCTACTCCTTCATTCCTCCATTTCCTTCTGCCAACCCTAACTAAACCTACTGACTATCTCTGAGAAAATTTTTCACTTACCTCCTCCTCTAAAGTCTCAGTCTTCAGAAATCTCTGCAGCAGTGTCTCAGCATTTCCCTAGTCCTACCTGGTAGGCCCTTCATCTCTGACCTTTTAAGAGTTTAACATAGGTATTAGCCTTTGTTGTTGTTATTTGCCATCGAGTCGGCCCCGACTCATAGCGACCCCTCCTTGGGTTTCCGAGGCAGTATCACTACGGAAGTAGGAATGCCCAA